CCATCCACAACACCTCAAGTCTTTCATGGCATAGTGACTGTATGCCAGACATCTCTGCCCAGTCCGAAGGAACAAAAAAATCCTGTTTCCTTTTGAACAGGACACTAGCTGATAAAAGGAGAAAGGAAAGAGAATAACTATGTCATTGGAAAATGACATAATTCACGTGATGCCTTTACTGCTTTGACAAGTTGCTCTACCCAGTGATCAGTTCTGTTCAGTAATGCATGTTTTCTCAGCATTCAAAGAAGTTGTCTCTTTGACGTAGTCAGAATTTTAACTGCAGCAGCCACGAGCACTCAGGAGAGCATATCCTAGTTCCCAGCCACAAACATGTGAGGAAAAAAGGCTGTGTATGATCTTGTCACAATACTCAGTGAGAAGTGTTAAGCTTTTGGCAGCTTACCTGTTTCTGCTTTGGAGACCTGATAAATTCTGTAAAATCAACTTAACTGTGGAAAGAAAACGAAACATAATTAATGGCTGATACCTGTACTTTGCTTTACATACTGTGCTACACTGCTGCAGCTCATCCATAGCAGTGGCTACAATAAAGCCAAACATGTTATGAACCCATGTGAAGAACTCCTTCCATGTTCCAAGATGCTATGCACTGCATCTTTGTGTTTCCATTTTAGAAGCAAAAGATATTCAAAATTTAAGTTGACTTCTGGAAACGATGAAAATACGATGAGATTACTTGGTCATCAATTGTGCCACACTGAACTGTTGCAGTGAAACAGACTGCCAGTGTATTGAGGGAAAAACTCTCAAATGAGTCCTTGAAAGATGCTTAAGTCCATCTCAGGATTAAAGGACGTGTCCATTCTTCTGAGATCCACCTGGTTTCAAGGTTCACAACAAGTGAAGCACTTGTCCAGCACTACACTTAATGTACACAGTGAAGACCATCAAATGAAAGAACAAAAATATCCAACAAGGAGAAACTTTGGAAAGTACCTGAATTTACAAAGCCAACTTCAGTATTTTCCCTGTATCTTTACTGTACTGCCATTCACACAAAAGAATGAGAAATGCTTTACTACACCGACTTAAAACGTGCCCTGATTTTCAACATATCTAACATCACACAATAAATAGCACAGTACTCTGCAAACAACACAAGCTTCTGTAGCAAATTACTGCCTCCCTTCAACACAAACACAACAGCCCGACACTCCATGCATTTGACATCACTCCTACAAACCAAAACCCTTGCACAATAACGTAAAGCACCAGATCCTAATGACAAGTTGTCTTTCAGTAACTGTGGCTATCACTCCAACTGAACTCAGCAAAACAAGAGCAAAGCCCAAATTCTCTAAGTAATGGATTTTATGTCACTTCTACATCAGCACTTTGCAAGCACAACAGAAAACAACTGCCTATTTATTAACTTCTTTAAAGACCATCTGTTCTGTGTACTTTTGTGCCGAGCCGACTCCAGCCAGCAGCCAGGCACCCACACAGCCAACTGTGCACTCCTTGTCCCCATCAGCAGGACGAGAGAGAAAATAGAAAGAACAAAGTCAAGAGAACTCATGGATCAGATACAGATAGTCTCATCAGTGAGAAGAAAAAATGCAAACCAAAGAAAATCACTCATTACCTCCTACAGGCTGACTGATGTCCAGCCTACCTTCAAATTACAACCACTTGGGAGCCAAGAGATAATCCCCCCTAAGCAACCAAAATCATCAAAATACTTCTTCCTCTACCTCAGTTGTTGTTGCTGAGCATGATGTTATATGGCACAGAATATCCCTTTGGTGAGTTTGGGTCAGCTGTCCCAGCCATGTCCCCTCTCAGCTTCTCGCCTACTCTCAGCACACTCGCTGGAGTGGCAGAGTAGGGAAAAGAGATAAAGCCTTGACACTGTGCAAGCACTGTTTAGCCACAGCCAAAAACACTGATGTGTTGTCAACATTCCTTCAGCCACAAATCCAAAACACTGAACTGTATGGGCTGCTGTGAAGAACATTAACTCCGTCCCAGCCAGACCCAGAACTTTACGTCTCTTCTCAACAGATGCAACGGCAGTGCCAAAAAGCATGGAGAATTCAAGGGCAGAATTTTCATACAGCACCGTCGTGTCTTGGAAAACCAAATCCGCTGCCCTGCTACTTCATGATGTATTTAATCTGTAGTACTCCTGGATTTCACAACTCCACATTCTTATCCCAATTTTTAAACATCATTCGCAACAGCTCTCCTCCATATTTCTTCGGTGATAAAGTGCAAGTTCTCCACGATGCACCAGGGACACAACACACAACCTTCAGTGGTGAAAACTAGACACAGTGATTCCAGATCATAATGTGATCTCTAAGAAGTCCAGAAACAAAAAAGGAAGTTCAAATAATAGGTTCTTACTGACTGGACATTAAACAATCAAGCCTGGGTAGAAAGTGCAGACAAGCCATCCAACAATTTAAAGTGAATGACCAAAATCAGTGACTTGTCATGAAAAATAAGACCAATTCATTAACTGAGCAGGGACTTCAGAGAGCAAGGATTTGGAGAACAGATTGACAACTTCATGCCACCAATTGAAAAGCAGAGAAGCAACACAGTTTTATGAAATTTTATATTTAAACAAAGCTGACTAGAAAACAGTACTATAACTATTCTTCCTCGAGAAATTCCAAATACCATTAAAGCCATTAAAATAAACCCACAGCTTGTAAACACTGTGGGAAACTAAGCCTGCACTAGACCAGTATTTTAACCACAACATTCAGAGATTACAGTCTGTATGCAAGCTAGAAACAACACACACAGAAACACTCCGACTGTAAACTGGACCAATGTAAAAATAACCAGTGGATCAGAGGAAGATTTCCTATTCTATTCTTCAAAATAAGCCTTAACAGTGAAAGCAGGCTGCTGCTAATGGCAGCTTGCACATCGCTGGAGGAAGACGCAACTGAGCTCCGTAGCTGGGCCGGCTGGAGCACCGCTCACTCCGAACACCCCCGCCGCTGCAGGGCCCGGCCAGGCCGGAGTGCGGGGCCGGGGGCGGCAGGACGGGGCATGGCCGAGGGGCACGGCCGAGGGGGACGGGCCGAAGGAAGGCTGCCCCGCGCCACACGCGTTCCGGGCCGACAGAGCCGGTGGCCCTCCGCCGTCACGGAGAAGCCCGGCCGCCTCTCGGCACCGGGACAGGGCTGAGGGAGGCACCGGGAGCGGGGAAAGGGGATGGGAAACCTGGCGGCACGAGGAGGCCGAGGCCCGGGGAGCGGCCGCGCAGCGGTTCCGCGAGGGTCGGACTGCCGAGAGCCGGCTCCCGGAGCAAGCCCCGCGCCGCCCTCGGCCGCACGCCGCTCCCCGGGGAGGCGAGCGCTGTCCCTCACGCCATTATCCAGAACCCACCGGGCTGGGGTCGGACGGGCCCCGCCGCTCCCGCACGGCTCCGCCAAGATGGCGCCGCCGCCGCTGCCCCCCCGCGCCGAGGGGCGACTGTGCCGCGCGAGCGCTTCCGGCCCGCCAGCACCGTCGCGCGCCGCCAGCGCGGGACTGCGCACGCGCCCTGCGGGCGGGGCGGGACATGCCGCTGCCCCGTGACCATGACCCCGCCCCCACCGCCCCTGCCGCGCGTGCGCCGCCTCGCGGTCCCCGCCCACAGCGGTGCCCGCGCGCACCGCAGGTAGTGCGCATGCGCCTTGCGGCCCGGGGGCGGCCCTGAGGTCCTGTTGTAAATAGAGCTGTATAATGACCAATCTCTGTAATGATAGAGTTTATAATACATCGGGATACAGAGACCGGTCACACGGCTGGCTGCGGAGCTCGGCCGCCGCGCTGTGCTCAGGCTCATACCCGCTGCTGCCGCATCCTCCCCCCCTCAGAACTGAGGAGCGGGTCTGTGCTCACCGCTGCTCTGCCAGGACCGGCAGACGCGATTTCTAACCCAGCTCGGGCTGGCTTGAGTCTGGGTTTGGGGAAGAAAGGCAGGCGGGGGGGGGGGTTAAGGCAGAGGAGGAGGAAAGGTTTCGGGCTGTGTAAAGGGAAGGGCAGAGGCAGGTGAGGTAGTTATTTTATCTTAGTGTTTATCCCACCTGCTTTTATGTATTGTCCCCTGTATTTCTGGACTTACTCAGCACTTGTCTGCTCCATTTTACATTAACAAATAATAATAAAAGAAACCCTGTTATTTTTGGCAGATTCACCTAGCAATGCTGCCAATTTTAGGAGCTTTCTAAACACACACAGTCTAGTTTAAAAAGGAGACATTGCTGCTCCTGCACAGGATGCAAGGTGGAGGTTTCCACAAATCAAGCACACCAAGGGGTAAAATATCCAGGTCACAAAGTACCCTGCAAATTTTCGTAACATTTGAGGGAATGGAACAAGAGGCAATGGGCAGAAACTGTTGCACAGGAATTTCCACCTGAACATGAGGAAGAACTTCTTTACTCTGTGGGTGACCGTGCACTGGAACAGATTGTCCAGAGAGGTTGTGGAGTCTCCCTCGCTGGAGGTATTCAAGAACTGTCTGGATGCAGTCCTGTGCCATGTGCTCTGGGGTGACCCTGCTTGAGCAGAGAAGTTGGACCAAATGACCCACTGTGGTCTCTTCCAACCTGACCCATTCTGTCATTCTGTGGAACGGGAGCACGAACATCCCGACAAAGGTGAAAGAGGTAAAAGGGAGTAACTTCGGCTGTGTATCCGTTCCTGTAGGCATTTTGCGTTTTCACCTTGTTACCAGTATCCTCTCACAAGGTGGGGAATTTATAAACAAGTGCTCCATTAGTACGATACACCGTTCTGGAGATTAGGTACAGGCAAGCGCAATCCGGGACTCGCCGTTACTTTGTGTCTTCCTCCCGATCTCCCATAGGACAAACCAACCCCTGTGCAGCCCACACCCTAATCCCGGGTTCGTACCGCCCCCCTCCCGCCCACCCCGCGGACGCTTCGCGTACTGCGGGGGCTGGCCCGCGGCGCTCACCGTAGCGGCGGTGGCCATGGCGGCGCGGGGCAGCGGGGCTGCGGCCGCAGCGCTGCTGATGGCGGTGTGGGCGGCGCTGCCGCCCGCCCGCGCTCCCGCCGTGCCGCTCCAGCGCCCCGCCACCTGCGCCACCGACCGCTACTTCGACAGCTCCCGCCTGGCCTGCGCGCCCTGCGGAGCCCACCAGCGGCAGAGCGCCGGCGGTGAGCGGGGGGGGAGGCGGCGCTGCCCGCGCCCAGGGCCACTCGGGGCTCCGCGCTGGATCCCACCCCCAGCAGCGGGAGGCGCAAAATCGGGGCTCAGGCTGTGGCTCAGTAGCCCTCCGGGGCGGGTCTGAAGGCAGCGGAAAGCGCCAGGATACCGCAAGGACCCAAGTGGCCGCAGCTGTGATGTGTCTGAGATACAGCCCAGGGAAACGGCTTTTCAAATAAAGCCTTTTTTAATAAAACCTTTTTTATTAATCTTTCTTTTCTCAGGCATTTGTATGGTTATGGGTATTTGCGTTTTCATCGGTAAAATCCCACAGAGTCCTGAAATTATGTTCTTGAACATTTCGGTAACTTAAAACTTGTCAGAGGTTGAATGTCGGAGTTGAATATAAGTGTCCGAGATCCTCAGGCTGTGCCCATGCTGGTCCAAGTCCCACACGGGAGCTTGGAGCAGATACAACACACCGTGACAGGACTAGATGGAAAATCCAGATGGTCAGTCGCTTTCTTTAGGGGATAAGATGGTTTGATAACAGTGGGAGGTCACTGTCATGTGTACAGGCACAAATTTGAGACTAAGACCCAGCAGCATCTCTCTTAAGAGCTGGTACCTCAGTGAGAGGCAGTGACGTGGATGGCTGTTTTCACAACTGTGTAAAAGGTGGTCACCTCTTCACCACCAACATGGCACCCCAAAGAGTAATCCCACAGTTTACTCACAGAAAAAAAAAATACTCTGTAATAATTTTCAGATCTGATAATGTGGGTCTCTAGATCCATATCTGCCTTTTAGGCTGAATCTTCCTCTAAAATTAAATCCTCTAAATCAGGGGCTTCAGGAAGATATAAATTCCAGGTGGAGGTCAAGGTTTTATTTTTTTCATGGAGCATCTGACTGGAGCAGTGTAGGTAGGTGAAGTTCAGTCTGCTCTTTGCATCTTGGCTGAATCCCGCTTGTGATTGATTGCACAAGTCTGCCCATACATTCCCTCTAAAGCTTATCACTGGATTCTGCCATCAAGCAACATGCCTACAAATTTAGGTATTGTCACAGTGAATGTCACAACTCAAGGCTCTTCACTGACGTAATCCTGTTGATCTTTTTTATAATTATGAGTAGTTCATCCCTTTGACAAATGTTTCTGTGCAACTGGTCTCATGAAGATGTACATTAAGGCTATTAAACTTTTCACAGAATTTTACGCTGTTTTTACATGCACAGTTCAACAAGCTCAAGTAATCATAAATGCAGTTTATTAGTACATACAATCAGTTTTGGCTTGTAGTATGTGTTTCAATGGTGAGAAGTCTGATAATGAGACTGAAAAGGTTTCTAAAAAAAATAAAACTGGAAATAAAACTGTATACAGACAAATAATGCTGGTGTGGTAGAGAGAATGGGCTGAGAAAGTCACTGTGGCAAGATTTAGATGGAGAGATTATATCTGTTTGGCTTTAAAAAAAAACCAAAACCACAAGTTTTGGGTTGCTGTTGCGCCCTGGTGGATCAGTCAGCCTTGTAAGACTTTCCCAGAACATCTGTGTACAAATTGTAATGTGGACATTTTTAAAAAGCAAGATGATTTTCATGCACATCTCACCAAGGTGTTTTATGTGTCTATCTAATAATCCATACTGATCTCTTGAGAACAACAGCAGTTCTTAGTATTCTGTAAAAAACAGGTTTATATAGATTAAAAGTGCATTTGCTTTATTTTTTTCAGGTACTTCCTGTGTATGTGAGCCAGGATACAGGATGGTTTCCAGTAATGGTGGGTTCTCTGTTACTTGTGAAAAATGCCCAGAAAATATGGTAGGTATTGAACTTTTCATGCTTTGCCATAATAATAATAATAATAATAATAATAATAATAATAATAATTTTTAATTTCATCCTGACTACAAGTTATTTTTCATTAATTTAAAATACTTTTGCATTACGGTCTTTGCTTGGGAATTTTAAAGACCGTACTTACAGGTATTTTTTTCAATTTAGAAGTATTTGTAGTATTTCATATATTTAATATGCAGTATTTTTTCTCAATATAGAAGTGTTTATTACTATGATTTTGTAGGCATTTTTTTGTTACAAATTTGACCCTGCAGATAAAATAAGAATATTTTAAATGTTAATTTCCCTCCACTGCTTTTTTCTTTCTGCTTTATGTTACATTATCCTTGCCCAGAAACCACAACTCTGTAGAATGGCAAAGATGGTTTTCAGTCATAGGTATCTCAGTTGATTATTTATACAAATCCTATTATTGTAACATTTAGGCTGTATCTTCGTAGCCCCAATACTTCTTTTTACTCCAAAATGTGCATTGTTTTTTCTTTTTCCAGTGTAGAACCTCTGTATCTCTTTTTAAACTTTCTACTTTTAATTAACTCTTGTCTTCACTAAAAGTTGTGAGCGAACAGGTTCAGAAAAGCTAAACTTTTTTTTTAGTCTGTTTCTGCAAAGGAGTTGCTTTTGCCAGATTTTTTAGCCTTTTTTTTAAGCTTCATGAATATTATCTGTGTTTTATCTGAATGCATTTCTGTAACTAATGTCTGGATAAGGCCAATTCTTCACAGACATTGGGTGATGTCTATATTTTTGAAAACTCTAATAGTTTTACATTTTATTTCAGAGTGGAGTTACTCAGGATGGGTGGAATTGTATTACTTGTCCTAAAGACCTGACTTTGGAAGGAAAATGTAAATGCCCCAATAATGAAATATTAGGTAAAAAATATATGCAAGTTACAAGATGATAGTGCTTGTTTTATATATTTGAGTTTACTAAGACATGCTCTTCTGTTAAATAAGAATGGAAATTTGAAATATGTTTACATATCTATTGTAAAAATTCAACATTCATCTTGATCTTAATTGTCATTCCTGAAAGACAACAGATAAATCTGTACCATTGCTCACTGCAGTAAAAACTATTATGTAAACGTTCCAAAAATGAACACTGATGTATCACTTCCTTTAAGCTCATTGGCACTGGATGGAGGCATTGAATTTGGAATAAAAACAATGTTATGAAGTATATAAAGCAGAAAGGAATTACATATAAGAGCTCTTGGGACCCCTGCTTTTCCTTATTTTCGAAGACATGGAATGGATGTAATTCTTTGAATAAGTATTTTAAATGTCCACTTTAGTTACATTTCTAACAGAGTATGTTGAAGAATCAGTGTTTTCCAGATCATTACTTTTAAATTTCCAAGGAATCTGAAAAACAATGAATACCAGTCTTCTCTCTTAAACTTCATGAGAGTTACAAAATACATTCTGAACTTTTAAAGTAAAATGTTGAGAGCAAAGCTGATTCTGTAATTTAACATGCAGGAAGAACATTAGTAATGTAATTTTTTTAAAACTTTATTTGGTTTCGGGTTTTTCTGTAATTAGATTTGAAATCTCTTGCTAAATGATTTAGTTGCTGCAAGATGCAGCTTTGAAACCTGAGATTTGTGACATTTGCACGAATCATTTCAGACGAAGTTTAGTTATTTTTTTTTCCCAGTAACTTTAAGCTTGACATTTGAATTTTTGCTTTGCAGTAATGGTCTGAAATTCGGTTCAGAATAAATAGCAAAGGAACAGAAAACCTACATATGAAATGTTGCCTTTCTCATTAAGACTAAACTGCATGTGCATAGCTATACACAATGCACTCATACACACATAGTGGATATTATTTACAAGTTGTGCTCTTGATTTTTTCAAAATAAACTCCATGAATTTATTGTAGATCTGCACACACTTTATTTTTTCACACTTTCTTAATCTGTGTGACATACTGTGCATCGTGCAATTTTATCATGGTTGCTTTTCCTTTCTACCAAAGTGGAAAGAAGCATCGATGGCATCTTGCTTAACAAAGCATTGTGCATACATTGTAATGGAAGTGAGCAGTCATTCTCTGCTTCAGATGCATCAGGAAGTAGGTGGGTGTTCTTTGCCTTTTGTGATGATAAATTTGAACCTGTCATGCTCTGTTTAAATGGAGTATTCTTGAGGAATACTCTGTATCTTAGGGATGACAGTTTTGAAGGCATTGAATTGGAAACCCTCAATGCCATATCAAACTCTGTTTTGTGCTCACTGAAGTCCTTTTATGACCAGCAGTTTGGTTTGTTTGTCTGGTTTTAGTGTGACTAAAAAGCAGGCTTTGGATTGGAAGCAGAAATAGAATTCTTACTTTGATAATTAACTATTGATTTGTTTTCTACTTCACTAATAGTAGAAACAAATAGGTAATAACTTTAGAATTTCAGAACTAGGGAAGCCTCTGACACCGTTATCAGGCATGCTGCGTAATCAACTTTCACTAAGTAGCAAACCTCATACTTAGGTGCATTTTAAGTGCATTCTTCATGTTTGTGATCCATAGGTGTGTAAGATGTGAAAAAACATTCATCCATGTAAGCAAGTCTTGTGACTGCAGCAGCCCAAACATTCTAGTAAGTAGAATTGTTATTATATTGAAGTTCAGAACGGAAAAGTTATTTTGACAAGTGTATAAATGTCTATTTATTTATTCTTTTATTTCTTTCAGACTGGGGGATTGTGTTTCTCTGCTCAGGAAAGTTTACCCCCAAAGGGAGTTGCAACTGTTCGTTTTGCACAGCTGGTAAATGTATTTAATTCTAAAATATTTTTAAGCTCTCTCATTGTTTACTTTCAGTAAATATTTTAAATTTCAATCCTGAAAAACAAAGGTAGTAGTTTGTTGTGGTGGTATTTTGTTGTCTGATTTGCATCAAGATAGAGTATAGGTATGGAGACCAGGCAAGCACTGTTCTAAGGGAGTAAGGTTTTAAAAATTCATGCCCTCTTGGAAACTGAAAAAGAGAAGTAATTTACATGACTGTAGTATCGAAACAAATAGCATGTGGTCTTTTGTATTAACTGTGTGCATTTAAAGCACACTCTTGTATCACAAAAAAGTGCTGAAGAGTTTTTATTACTATATAGAATGGGTATTTATGTAAAACATTTGAAAGAACCTATAAGGATTGAGCTTACATCTTCAGCTTAAAGCTTATACAAGAAAATGTACACATTTAAAGTTTGAGATTCTGTATGAAGATGCTGAACTCTTGAATTGGCTACTGAATGAAAATATGTTCTATTGAGAAGAATGAAGGTATTTTGGCTAATGAACTTTTGTTCATTAAGTGAGTGAAATCTTCTCACAGTTAGGACCATTGTCTGAATTCAGGACATGCTACATGGTTAAGAAATGTATTTTAGTTCCTAAATGAATGGATGTTAAAGGCTACTGCTTGAAAGAAAGTAAAAAGCAGTCTTCAGTTTTCCTGGTATCAAATAGTGGTCTTGCTTCCTGAAAATGTCATTTTGTAAGTAATATTATATTGAAAATATGTCTTTTTGGTGGCTTACAGTATTTATGAACACTGTTTAGTTCAAAATGTGAGCAGTTATAAAAAGCAGGTACTGAAATAATTAATTTGGCAAATTTGGTCCTGAGTTAAATTTACCAACTCAACATCTTACCCTTGAAATAGCTAGTACTTGCGTTGTGCAGTAAAGAAAACTTTTTTGTCCCTGAAATCCATATTGAAAGCTTAAATATTCCATTTTGTTCTGTATATTTTGTTTAATTTAGTGAAGTGAAAGAAATTACTGCATTATATTTGTGTTTTGAACTGATATCGTTTGATTGAGATATTTACAAAGGACAGAAACCTCTTAATAAAAAATAAGTAGCATCTTTTAGCTGATTAATTTTCTGGACTGTTACATTATAGATAAATTGTTGTGAACAAAGACAGTGAAAAAAATCCTTATTTACAGGGTATAACACTGACATCAGCATGGTTTCTGAAAAACCTCCAGTCCTCAGCCTTTGCCTGCTGGGTAAGTTTCATTAATGTTTGCAGTTTGCTTTTTTTATACAGAAGTGGAACCCTCTGTAAAAGCACAGGATTTTTGGAAGTTACCTTGCTTATTTTTAAATTATTTTATTTTGAGATAACAGTAGATAAGAAAGAATTATTTATACAGAATGTTTAGAAATATTGAGGGCAGTCAATGCAAGTCTACAGGGCTGGAATTTTCACAAGATGAATGGGGTTAAAGAAGAAATCCCACTTTAGTCAGCAGTATGTGAACTGTCACTGAGCATATCCAGGAAGGGATCACCCATAAAATTAACTTCTTACATATTCAATATTGATTGGCACCTGGTCTTTACCTCGTATTTGTCTTTTGGTTATTAATTTTGTTTTGTGATGTAGAAGGATCACCATAGAACCACCCTTTTTAGTTTTGCTTTGCTTTGTTCTGTGTATGCAAGTGTTATTTGCCATTATGTTGCTCTGGGTGACAGTAAACATGGGTGAAAGTGGGTGCAGCAAGAGAATCACAGGCACTTGTGACGGGCATATGCCTCTGCCTCTTTTTTACCAACTCTGTCATCACACATGCTCCTTTACCATATGTATTCCACTTCTCAAAATCATATTTTAACTTCCCGAGACCTGCTTTTTCTTCCAATCTGTCACATCCCAAGGGTTACCTGGCCTACAAGTCTCTGAAGATCACAATAGTGGATTTGCAGAATTCTGTAATACACAAGCACACAGAACCTTTATTTCCTACATTTCTTTATTAGAGATTACTACAAATAGCTACCAGTAAAGTGAGTATACTTATGATTAATAAAGCGAGTATAAGTGCATTCCAGTGGTAGCAGCAATCAGTAGTTGCAGCAAGCATATATTTCAATATTATAGGCTACTACAAAATGATCACTAGTAAAGCAGCAAATATGCTTAGGATCAATCAGCTATATGCATGGCTACGTATATATATTATTCAAAACAGTACCAGTACCATACTCACTAAACCACACCCAGGAGTGGGGCCTCAAAATTGATGACAGTGAAGTTTCACTTCAAAGATGATCCACTTCACAGGGTCTGGAATCAGCCAGGCATCCCCAGCCATGGTCTGACAACTTGCCTACGAGAGCTCATAGGAAAGTTTGTGTAGGGTACATTCTCTGTGTGTTAGAGAGATTGAAAAAGAGAAACCACTGACAGGGACAGATGTCACTCTCCATTTTGGGTAAAAAGTAAGTAATTTTTGTATCACAGAGACATAATGCAGCATAGGATAGCACCCAATAGATGGTGTTTTATATTCTCTCAGGCTAGTTTTTTGTTTTTTCCAGATGGTTTTTGTGCTCTTTCATCTACAACAGCCAATAGCATTTGCTAATTCCTATTCTTTTGGAATGTTTTCCCTCCTCTAGATTCTTTCTCATGCTTCCAGATGATAAGTTGCTGTTCCAATTCCTTGGGTTTGTGTTTATTGATGGTATCTCAAGAGGTCGCTGGGGTACCAGACACATTAGGTACCCACCTGCCCTTCTCAAGGATGTTTCAGATTCCCAGGCCTAGTTCCCTAGGCTGGCAGGTGTTCTCTCACTCAGTGTCTCACCAGACTCTTGTTCTGCATTTTCCCAGATCACCTTTGTGGCTGTTTCCATCATCATCTCATAAACACAGCTCTGAGATGTATTCTCCTCCTTGTCCCATTTTTATCCATCAACTGAGACTATCCTCATTGCTAACATAAGTTTGTCCTGTGTGTCCTCAGGCTGCTCAGCAACTCAGAGGTGCTGCCTGAATGTAATGTGCAGCTACTGATCTGACCCACACAGGGGGAGTAAGGAGGTGGCAAATTAGTACTAGTGCAGTGATCACTGCACAGAGATGCCAGGCATCACCTCTGCGTAGCAGTTAGCATTGGTTTGTTTGCCAAAACTGAACAAGGTATAGATACAACATAGTTTAGGAACAGCAGGATAGAAAAAGTACTAAAACTGAAAAGAAGATATTTGCAATACATGCAACTATAGTTGTCAATCTGAGCTCTTTGATGGAGTCATCTTTGTCATACAGCCTAAGTGGTATTAAACATTTTGATTCTTACTTTGTTTTCTAAAACATTTCTGTCACATCATCACATCATAGCTGATGCGACTAAAATAAACTGAAAAAGAGAGAGTATTGATTTTATGGTGCCATCTGCAGACCTATAAAAATATGATACCTGAATACATGGGAGAAAATACTAGGTGTTTACAAAACAAAATTCCTTTTAAGTGAAAACAAGAGTTTAGGAGTGGCTTCATAAAAATAACATTAATTTTATGATTGCCTGATGGAAAGGAGGGGTAATTAAATACTTTTGTATGTTCTTGTGTTTCTACACTGCAGTTGTACTCAAATGTAACAGCATGCCAAGCTCTTGGAAATATGTGTGTGATGAATATGAACTCATTGAGTTCTTCAAGTACAGATGCCTGTGGTTTGTTTCAATATATTTTTATCGGTACAGCAAGACTAGGCATTGTTCATTCAATAGCCTACTGGTAAGTTGCCTTTTCCATAATTTTAGTCTTTAATAGCATTTTATGGAAATTATCCTAAATGTTCTTTGATGAAAAATGTTATGTTTCTTTAGAGAAAACACTGTACTTATTTTCAGGAGGCATAATCTTCCCTGGCTATATTACGGTGATCAACCAGGATTAGCATCTCAAGTGCTTGAGAAAAATCATTTCCCTACAACTTTCAGTTTTAAAGGAAGAGATAAGGTAGGTTTTGGGTAATAGACATGGGGAAGCAGACATTAGAACAAGACATAATCACATAGAGAGGCTTAGATTTATTAAAGATGTAACTCTACTAAAGATATATTTTAGGCAGTCAGTGTAATAGAACTCATTGTGAGATCTTATGGAAGAAGAAGGCGATATTTATGTAAAATAATGTCAGTAAGGTGATTTTACTGACACACATTTGCTTTGCTTATGCTCTCATACCCACATTCTTTTAAGACCAAGATTTGTTGCCTGAGTGGTCTGACCGGAATCAACTGTGTGACGAGGAACAGAGGATGTCAGCGATTAAGTGCTCATTGTGTCCCCAAGATCCTGGGTTGGCAGCAATGGACTAGTAATTGGACAAATCTTTTATACCCCTTAGGAGTTACTAGTTGTTTTGGCACTGTCCTTTGCTTCAGTCTTCTTTACTTCAGTCTTCATAAATCTGAAGCAAAGTTGGGTTTTGTCTCTTTTCCTTGTTTGAAATACATTAATCCTTTTTTTCAGTTTTCCTGGTGAGATAATTGGAAAAAGAGAGGTATATGTGGTATGCTGTAACTTTGCTGTCACCTGCCTGGGATACCAAAGTGCAGGGTCTTTTGCTGACAATTTATCTGTGCCATGGTTTTATCACAACCCATTTCTTGGCTCTGTTGCTGGGAATAGTGTTATTCATCATTGTTAATCCTCTCTTTCCGTTGCTTCTGTTGTGTACACACACACTGCTCTCCCTACTTCATTTATACCAACTGTAATATTTGTTACAAATCTCTACAAGCTAATTTGTATCAGAGATGGGTTCAGTGTATTACTCCAGCCTTTTCCTCGGGGGGGGGAAAAGAAAAAAAAAGAAAAACAACAACCAACAACAAAGAGGTGAGAAAAGCAAATCGTTTCAGTGTTAACAAAGCAATATATCCATCCGTAGGAGGGATGGACTGGTGCAAACAGATTGTTAACTGTCAGTTTTATGAAGGAATCAAATAGTAAATCAAACAGTAGTGTGATTTATTTTACAGATTCACTGTAAAAATAGAATAACTGGAATAGTTTATTCAAATTAAGCTAATCACAGAAGGTAAGTAATGCTAGTGATAACCTGTTTGTCAGTTATACTGCCAAATTTATCAAAAGTTTTCTTATTGACTCAAAAATAAAATCAGACTTTTGCAGCCCTATTCTAAAAGGCTGTGTTTTAAATTAAACAATGTTGCAATGCAGCAGTTCTTTTACAACTAAAATACTTGTTATTCTTCCTAACACTGAAAGTCCTGGAAGCCCTCAAGGTCCAGCATAGTATACATTAGAAATCTACATAGATTTTTTTATTAGTTTAGGGCATGTCTCCCTATGTAGAAGTTCCTTTGGAACTTCTTCCAGTGAAGCTGTGGAACTATGGTAAAGTATGGAGTTTTTTTGTAAAAGATAACTACCAAAACCAAGATTTAAAACAAAATCAAAGGGAAAAAAATGAAGGATTGTGCTGAAAGTTTCAGGAAGCATAAAACGATGAGACAGCAATCTCTAAAACATATATGTCCACTTTAGGGCCGTTTAATTGTTTCTTCATGTTTTTTTCATCATCAGGATGTAAAACTGCAATTTATTGCAGCCTCGTTTGATGCAGCAGGAAACTTTCTTAAATGGCAAAGTTTGGAAGGGGGCATCTTACAGGTATGTCTGATTTTAGTTATCTTTCCTTGATACCATAACATTCTGATTGCCTTTAGTAAAATTAATACAAAAGCCAAGAGTTTGGTTACTATGCTAATGACTGTTCATAACTATAGAGCTACATTAGGGAAAATAATTAATTCTTGATCAATGATCTCTACAAAATCAAAGGTATAAATTTATTAACTTTGCCTTCATCCATTGTACCAATATAAACTTTGTATATTGGAAAGCTCTGAAAAATAGCATTAGTCACTTAAAACCAACCATCTCTTTCTTCCTTTCAGCAGTTACCTGTGTGTGTAGTTTCTTATTAGATCTCTTTTGCTTGTTGAGAAAAGTGTATTTTTTTGCTCTCAGTCCACATATGTTTATAGATGATTCTATGAGTATGTCCCTATTGGATGTTGTCACCTGCTTGCACACATTATGGGGGTAACAAGCAAATCGGTGATTTTGTCACTGTTGAGAGAGGTAGGAAACCTGATCTACTAACCCATTTTCTTTCACTTCTCTTTGGATTTTTTGTTTGGTTATTTGTTTTGGTTTGAAACATAAAATGTACATTTTGGCCAACATTTGCCCATCTTTTTAATAGCAGAAAGTTACAAATACTTGCTGGGAGACTTTACATAGAAATGGGGAACACTGGTAGAAGATTGGCAGTACCCTTGAATACTCTGCCCTCAGATTTCAGTGGCACACGCGCAATTCTACTTCAGCAGTACCTTGCTGTAGAGATAACGTGTGAAAATTGCAAGTAAGCAGCAAGTAGAAAGTGCAGTAGTAAAATAGTTACCAGCAAGAGAAATGGGCAGCTGCAACACACACTACAGAGTAGAATTTGTTTAGCAGTCTAGTGGTGATCTAAGCACTCTCAGTATTTCCCTAGGCAGGCAACAATAGAAACACTAGCAAGAACAATTGGGAATTCTCTGTCCCTTTTTCTAGGCTCTTCATGTCACTCTTGGAACATGTCACTTCAAATGCTGCAGTGTCTGCAGAAGAGCAGCTGACATTCAGGATTTAAATAGTGACTGCTATTTCTTTTGTCACTGTCTCAGGATGAACTGTCTTGTGTCTGCCTCTCCAGTTTTAAGGAGAACTAGTGTCTGAGAGGACAGGTTACTAAGGCAATTATTATGCTTACAAAATTAAGCATTCTAAGGTAAATTTTAAGGTTCATTAGGGCATATTAATTTTCTTAGGCAAAGCATTTCATAGCTATCAAGAACCAATGGGAAAGGGATATCTTTTCCATTCAAAGCTTCATTTAATGTAATAGATTGTGTGTGATGATAAGGCATCACAGTGCTAAAGCAGTCTCAGTGCATAATTATAGCAATTCCCAGGATTTCAGTTTCACAGTAGCAGAATTGTGTTTCATCTAAATTTAGACTTGATTTTAAATGGCTATGCCATTCAATAAATGCCATGCTCATTTAGCTAGAATTTGGCCCGTTTTTCTAGATTCAGCTGAATCTGCGGTTCTTTGCAGAAAATATAAGTGTTATAGTAAAAAAAGGGAAAAAAATTCTGTTACTTGCTGTAACTTTAATCCTCTGATAATGCCAGCTTAAGAGAAATAGTGTAATATGAATGTGGACTCCTTTTCTTATGGGATTCTTGAATTTAGCAGAAGCCACTAATAAAGCTTGAGGCAGCACACAGTGCATGGAACATTCAGTCCCCAAAAAGATTATTTTTGCCTACTTGTGAATTCTGTCCACAGATTCAGTGGAACTTGAAAATGCTATGCTAAATCAACATTTTAAGAACACTAATATTATTGCAATAAATAATTCTGTTTACTTTTCAAAATATTCCTTCTAATAAAAAATAGAACAAAATATCTTTTATGAGAACTGTGAATACATAAAGTGCTTGAGTACCTGTAAATATTTTTCATGTGAGAAAATTATACTTTTCAATTGACTTAATTATAATTATGATTTGTTCAGCTTTGTCCTGATACAGAAACTAAATTGGATGCAGCTTATACGTTTGGAACAACTTACCAACAAAGTGTAAGTAAGATATAAAAAGCTATTCTAACTTTTGAATCAAGTTGCTTGATACATCATTAGTAATTCAGTGTATATTGAAGGACATCTGGAGTTTAGCCATAAGCTGCAACATGAACTTCTTTCTTGTGAAACTGGTGCTTATTTTAATTTTTCTTTGTTTTTGACTGAAATAAGTGGGGTTTTTTAAATTATTTAACTGTGCATCCCAAAACTTGTGTATTACATAGCATGATCAAAATAAATTAAACTGGCGTTTCTATTACTGAGGTTGCTGACTTAGGAGTGGAAGAACACAATGCATGAATTCTGGCAGTCATATACTTTGCATCATATCTTCTAATTTTCCTTTTACCACCTTTGGCCAGGTTTCATACAGAAAGAAGGCAAATCTCATCGTGCCATGCCTGTATATTATCCCTGTTAACTCTTTAATGCATGCCCTGATTTTAGTGAACTCGGTACAGAGGTTGAACACTGAACAGATGACTCATCAGAGGAAAGAGGTTCTTTAGTTGTCTCAACTATGGAAAAAAACTATTGGAGTTTTCACACCTTACTAAACAGCAGGAAAGAAAGAGGGGATAGAGCACTTGAGTTTATGTATACTTATATGCTAAATTCAGTCACCCACAGACATTGTTCTGCCAACAATAATGTATCAATTTTTGTTAAACTGGGAGATGGTAGTCTCTTTGGCAGGGGGTGGTGAAAGAAACATATTTATTTTTATAAAACTCCATATGTGTGCACAGCATCTCATACCTATATATTAATACTGTTTAGTAACTCATCTACATTCAGAACCATTCCCCACATTATGTGTTGCAGTGTAAAAATGCATAAACTCTGGCTGCTACTTGGGTAGTGTGAAAGTTCTGTAGGGTAATACAAAGCTTTAGTCTGTGAAATCCAAAGTGTTTACCAAATAACATTGACAGGTGTTAAATATTTTTATTCTTCCATATTGTTTAATGTTGTTTAACCCATATTTCAGTATTTCAGACAGAATGAAAACATTTTCTACTAGTCAAGTATGGTTTTATTTTTTCTGCTCTTTAAAATGTTACGTATTTGGTATATTGAGTCTGTAGAACCTAAATATTACTAACAGTTAATATTACTGGGTTTGAATATATACACCAATAAATAATAACTAACTGAGTATTGTTTAATGTAACTTTTTTCATGGGTTACAGTACTTTTTTTTTTCTTTCCTGCAGCTTTGCAGAAAACGTGTTTGACATGTTATATGAGTATTTAAAGACTGCCTGGTTGTTCATATATGCACCTACTTTCATATTTAATGTCTTCACACAATCACATCATGGTTGAGGTAGTCAGGGACCTCAGGAGGTCATCTTGTCCACTCCCCTGCTCAAGCAGGGCCACCTAGAGCAGGTTGCCCAATACCATGTTCAGATGTCTTTTGAATAGCTCCAAGGAGTGAGACTCCACAGCCTCAGTGGGTAACCTGTGTCAGTGCTTGGTCACCCTGACAGTGAAAAAGTGTTTTCTGTTGCTCAGAGGGAACCTCTGGGTTCAGTTTGTGCCCATTGCCTGGGCCCCTGAGTTGGGCTTCAGTTTTTGCCCATTGCCTCTGGTCCTGTCAGTGGGAAGTGCTGGAAAGAGCCTGGCTTTGTCTTGTACACCCTCCCTTCAGATATTTGTACACATTGATAAGATCTCCCCTGAGCTTTCTTATTCTGGCATAAGTCTCAGCTTTTCCTCATAGCAGAGATGCCTGCACTGGGCTGTATCAAGTAGCTCCATATCTCTCTTGTACTGATGAGCCCAGAACCAGATTCTGTACTCCATGACTTTAGCATTTATGTGTCTTGACTTTAGTGTTTATGCTGTTTCAAATTTTATGCCTGTGAAGTTTGCTAGGATATTTTTCCCCAATCTGTTGGAAAATGTTAAAATCTTCATTCTCCACATTAGTCATTCTAGTGAATTGCAATAATTTCTAAAAATTTTGAGTAAAATAATCAGTACTTTGTAATTACTTGCAAATAGCTGGAATGCCTTGCCTGTCAGAACTTCAGTAGAGTGTTTGACACTGTTTCCCTCAGCATTCTTATGGAGTAACTGGCTGTTCGTGACTTGGATAGGTGTACTCTTTGCTGGGTGAAAAACTGGCTCAATGGCTGGGCCCAGAGAGTGGTGGTGAATGGAACCAAATCGAGTTGGTGGCCAGGGCTTCCCCAGGATTCAGTATTTATTGATGATCTGGTTGAGGGGATCATGGGCACCCTCAGCAAGTTCACAGATGACACCATGTTGGATATGGGGTGTTGATCTGCTGCAGGGTTGGGAGGCTCTGCAGAGGGGTCTGGCAGGCTGAATCAGTGGGCTGAGGACAATGGTATGAGATTCAACAAGGCCAAGTGCCACATCCTTCATTTAGGTCACAACAACTCCATGCAGTGCTCAGGCTTGGGGAAGAGTGGCTGGAAAATTGTCTGTCAGAAAAGAAGATGTTTGACAGCTGGATGAACATGAGCCAGCAGTGTGTTTAAGAACCCAACTTTTTAGAGAAACAGAAATTTCTTATCTTTGAAGTCTGAAGAAGTAACTGCACTTTGGCCACAACAACCCCATGCAGAGCTACAGGCTGGGGACAGAGTGGCTGGAGAGCAGCCAGGCAGAAAGGGACCTGGGAGTTTGGATTGACAGGAAGCTGAACATGAGCCAGCAATGTGCCCAGGTGGCCAAGAAGGCCAATGGCATCCTAGCGTGTATCAGGAATATTGCAGCCAGCAGGACGAGGGCAGTGATTGTCCCCCTGTACTCAGCACTGGTGAGGCTGCACCTCGAGTGCTGTGTCCAGTTCTGGGCCCCTCGTTACAAGAAAGACATTGTGGTATTGGAGCAAGTCCAGAGAAGGGCAAGGAAGCTGGTGAAGGGTCTGGAGCACAAGTGTAATGAGGAACAGTTGAGGGAACTGGGTTGTTTAGCCTGGAGAGAGGAAGGCTCAGGGGAGACCTTGATGATTCTATGATTCTGTCTTCTGTGAAAAAGTGGGACAGATTCCACAATAATTTTGTAGGGAATAAATCTGCAACTCAATGAAATAATTAAATTTCTAAAGTGATCTTTTTATTTTGACATTTTTTCTTGTAGTGCAAAATTTCAGTTTCCAAGATTTTATTGGATTTTCCTAATCCAATCTTTTATGACCTGTTTCTTGAATATAATGGCGACAATGGACAACAGCATCTTTGGGCCGTGCCAGTTTTAAATTTGAATCTTCAATACAATGAAAAGTTTGTTAATCAAGGTAAGACTGTCACAGTAAAATTTCTTTGAATTTAAGTAATCTGAATAACTTTAAATTGAAATAATTTATATTCATTACTCTTACTAAGTTGTTTTAAAGATACCACAGCACACCACAACTTGTTTCCATTTAAAGAATTTAATATTTTGTGGGCAAGTTCTGATAGTTTAAGTGCAAGCTTTGGTTGTATGCAGTGTTCCCATCATTACTCTGCACAAATAAAGTAATCTCATTTCATGATGTATTTGTGTAAGTTGAAAATAAACAATTTTATATCCTCAATAGTACTGTGTGTTATACAGTTATATGTGTCGTTTCTAGTAGATTTCTTTTTTTTGTGTTGAATTATCTGTGTGAAACTGTCATGTTTTTTTCAAAGGCAGTAATATGAACAACTGGCTTTTGACTCGTCGATTTTTTTTGGTGGACACGCTTAGTGGAAAAGAGACTGACTTGGGAAAACCACCAAGGGTAATTCGGATTGCTAGCGAAATAGAAATAAGGTGAGTCGTTCATATAATATATAGTACATAGAAAATAAAGCCAATATTGCACAGTCTGCATTTTATTGTCTCAAAAGAAAGTTTGTTTATTATGTTGTTTCTAATATGTCTAATATATAATATGTGCTTTTTTCTCCATTGCTTACATGAAAATGGCATGAATTTCCATAGACAGTTCTGATAAATGAGTGAGAAACATTGACTTGTGGGAGTTTAATTTACCGTGATTACCTTCCAGATATCCTTCCATGGATCAGACCATGTTAGCAGGCGTTCAATCACCTCTTAAAAACAAGCAGGTGTCATCTGGAAAGACCTAAAAATTCTGCTAATTCTTTTTCAATGTGTGCTTTCCTGACTATACAAGGATGTTATTCATACTCTATATTCTTTTTTGCAGTATTTTTACAAGCTGTTGCCTGTTCTGTTATATAGTCCAGAACAGGCTTGTAGGCATTTGACTGAAGATGTGAGACTGCATGGTAGGGTCATTACTGATAGTTAATCTAAGATGGAATATATTTTGAAAGAAACTTTTTTTTCTTCTTTATGTGAAGTAATGTCTTCTGAGATGACTGCCAAGAAATTGGTATCTTCCTTTTCGTTCAGCTCTCCTTCAATTTACCAGTTAAACAGTTGCTGAGTAGCAGTGAGTACTGATCCATAAAAGTAACAATCTTCTCAGAGTCACAGGAAATGCCAGGTTGAAAGGGACCCACAGGATCATCAAGTCCAACTCCCGGCCCTGCACAGGATCATCCCCAAGAGATTAATTTAATATACTGACTCCATTTCCTGAGTATTACATATTACATTATTTCAAAAGATAAGGTTTAGTTTATGTATCTTAGAAGAACACCCTTCCATCCCCTTCAAGAAAAGGATAATGCCAGAAATTCAAAATACACATAAGAAAAGTCAATCTGTAAGGTTTTGAGAAAAGTTACTTTTTGGAATTGGCTTCAGTTGCAGCTGTCCCAATGTCAGCGGGCAGGTAAAGATTAATTCAGGTATTTTCTTGCAAATAATCCTTCCTAGCTTTTTCTTTTTATGTATTTGTGTACATGCCTTTGTACACTCCAGTTGCTTTTAAAATGTGAAGTGCATGCCAGTGGGTTTGAAACTCACATTTTATTGATCAGGTTGTTCTGTTCTCTTAATATTTTGTTATTAGTGTAAGTTTCAATGAATGCTTTCCAAGCACTCATTCATTTAATCATACTCTGTATTTCTGCAGTATTCGTCTGGTATCCCACATGCAGAAAGGAACTATATACCCTCCTCTAATTACTATTGCTTACACGGATGTGCTTGTCCAAAACCCTGAAACCCAGAGTGTGATGGTGAGATCTTTGTGTTATCTTAATCAAACTGATTTGGTAATCATACTTTTAGATCTGTTGGAATTCCAGTTTTCCAGTTGAGTGAACATTTTGGTGCAGTTTCTAATTCTGCTTGTAAGTTTTCACTGAAACTTAAACCTTTTAAAATAAAGTGGTTAAAATGATTCGCATTTTTATTTATATTGAGTCTTTTTTAACTTAAAATAATTAGAATTTGAACTTGGTTGTATAATGCTGAATTAGGCTACAGTTCAAATAAAATTATATGCACAGAAAATAACAGGAAAAGTATTCTTTATGCGTATGTTTTCGAAAAGCCTGTGGAGGAAAAAGACTCCAAAGATCAAAAAATTTTCTTTAATATTTTTTTTTATTTAAAAAATTTAAAAAACTCTAAGGCATCAGTACACTGAAAGCAACCATTTATGCAAAGAAATGAGTTTTTATTTAAAGCAATGCGCTAAGAGGAAGTTGTTATGACACAAACATTTCAGGTCACCTGTAGTTTACGTTAAAATAAAAGTGTGAAAACAACCACTGTCTGTAGTGGTTGTAGCATTTCAGAATTTCTGTGCATATTTACTTTTTGCATCTTAATGTTCAGGTTTCATTCTCAGTCAGTTATGAGATGGATCAGTCAGAGGCTCGGATTCAGACTGATGTAAGTTGCAATTCCCTTTAATTTGTTGATTTAATGAATGATTAACTTCTGTTTTGTGCTTTTTAAAAAATATCTGCAAATAATTTTTCATTATTTTCAGGTCGCATTGGGTGTGTTGGGTGGGCTCGCAGTGTTGTGGTCCCTTCTCAAGACTGCAGGCTGGAAGAGGCGTACAGGAAGCTCTATAATTGACTTGCAGGTATAAACGGCTGGCAACCAAAAAGGGGACATTTCTTCCCCCCCCTTTAATGAGACCTTGCTATCATTCCCTGTGATTATTAGTATTCTGTTTCTTAAGCTAACTGAAATAATTTCTAGCCTAGCTAGCTGAAATAATTTCTAGCCGGTGCACTGGAGTTAGGTTCACTTCAGAAAGTAGGTTTTACATTTCTTTGATTCTGATATCGTCATTCAGGATATACTGTTGGCAAAAATAAAAGTATTAACAGAGCTATTCTGATCAGTTGAGTGGACTTAGTTTTCAGATTAATTCTTCTCTGAACAAAGATTAGCATTTAGGAGTTTCAGACAGTGAATATACCATAAATATATGACTACAATAGAAAAGCTTCGTTCAAGACTCCTTTTCAGTATTAGAGTTTCCTATGTGAGCTGCATAACATTCTATATGAATGTATATATTCATTACTTAATTATTACTTAATTATTATTTTAAAAACTACTTAATTTACAGATCTCTACAGTGTTTTTTTATAATTGCAGACAGTTTTCAAGTTCTTACTGTTTTATGCTGGAGACCTTGCCAATGTTTTCTTCATCATCACAGTGGGCACAGGGATTTATTGGCTTGTATTCTTCAAAGTAAGTGTTTTTCTGGATTTGAGTGGTATGAAAATCTATTAATATTACATATATTTTTACATTAAGATTAATTTTCTTTTTTTTTTTTTTTCCTTTCTGGTCAGACTATTGAGGCAAGTTCTATATCATATTCTGCTTTGTGTGCTTAAATTTTGTGTTCACCTGTTTCTTTTCCTTAGGATTCATTGTACTTGCAGTCTGCTAATAGTCACTTAAAATATTTTACACATTCAAAATGATTGCACATTAAATACTGATTTTTTCTGCAAAAGCTTACTCACTTTTAAGCATTTACTGTGTTTTTACATATGCCATGTGCAGTGTTTCAATGTAACTTCTCAATTATAGGCTCAGCAGTTTGTCTCTGTCCTTTTACCACTTCCATCTCAAGAAGAAGATTTTGTTACATACATAGCATGTGCATTTAGTTTAAAGGTAAATATTTTTTCCTCACCATTAAATACATGTTAACATACTTCTGTATATTTTAAGTAAGCTTGTTTTTAAACATCTTGCAAAATTCATTTTGTTAGTGCATAGACATAAATAATTATGTTTTTGTAATAATTAAGTAATTTCTCTATAGAAATTTATTTTCTGGAGTTGTAATAGGGAAACAAATGTCTAAAGAAGATTGTCTATGAAAAATCATTCTTTCAAGGATAAAGGTCTAAAGAAACCCAAACAAAATAGCATCATGTCAAGAAGGAAGTGCTTTCTTTTGAAGCAGAATATAAATGCTGTCAGTTCCTGATTAAAAAGAAGATGGATTCAAATAATCATATTCAAATATTTAGAATTCAGAAATCATGTCTTCATGTGACATGAAAGTATTGTATTAGTTGTGGGTATTATATGGAATTCCATTGGAATTCATAATACAAGTTAATATGTTATGGGGAAACAGAGTTTTTTAGAATTTGTTACTTTGGTGTCTTTTGTTCATAATTTTGGACATTATCATGTGACTTATCATTGTTCCAAGCTTTTAACTTAAAAAAAAAAATCAGAAGTTGGTAATAAAGTTGCTGCCTTGAGTATAGTCAAGACATCACTTTTTATGTTTAATGAATGCAATGATTGTTTCTTCATCTTTCATGTTGTTGTTGTCCCTACTTGTTCTATTTCTCCTTTTTTTTTTTCTCCTTAGGCTCTGCAATTCTTACAGTTGCTGATTTCACAACTTACTGTAGATATTTTCTTTATTGATTGGGAAAGACCTAAAGGCAAAGTTCTTAAAGCAGTTGAAGGTAACTCGAACTATGCTTGTTTGTATAAACAGCTTTGATTAAGTTCTGGTATTACTCTCAAGTGTGAAATTTCTGAGCTTTATTTTATGTACTCTTTTTAGGTGAAGGTGTTATTAAAAGTGCTGCTGTACCTGTGAGCATATGGAGGACATATTTTGTAGCAAATGAATGGAATGAAATTCAGACAGTGAGGAAGATAAATCCCCTCTTTCAAGTGCTTGCAGTTCTTTTTTTTTTGGAGGTACTATAACTACTATTATGATTATTGTTGTTGTTTTTTATTTTTTATGATTCACAGCCAGAGTGTAACTTGGGAGTCTGGTTTTTAATTCTTGCATTCCCTGAGGTAATAGTGGATCACCTTCAAGTTCACTTGAAAACATGTAACTTTGTGAAATAATTAGTTTAATGCATTTTTTTGTTTTATATGTATGAATAGGTCATTGCAATATTTCACTAAGGAAGACTTAAAAAAACCCCCAACCTTTAAATGCCCTAAACACCCTTGTTAGTTTTATTTGGTTGGGTTTTTTTTTTTAAGGTAATGAGTTACCCTAAATGACTTAAGAGACTGATAAATCTGTGTACACACTCAATTCTTTATTTGCCTACTAGCTCCCTCCTATCACAGTTTACAGCTTTATTTCTGGTTTTCTTCCTGCTTGTTTGCTATGGTGCCCTTTAAAAATGCAGGAAATGAAATGTGCCAGCTCTGCTCCTGATGGCAGTATGCCTTCAGTTACAGCTTCAGGGTATGTGAGAAATTGTGCTTTACCTTTTAAAAAACATTTGGGTTTGTTTCTCCTGTAGTTTAGTAATTACTTCTATTTTTGGGAAGTATTCTTAAAGCATGTAGCATATAGTTGTTTATGTGAGGTTCTTCTATATATGTTTAATACTTTTAGTCAATTTTATACTTCTGTTTTTAAATTTTTCTTTTAAATTAAATGCAGTAAAAAACCCCAAACTTTCCTCATTCACTACATCAGCGTTTCTGCTGTTGGTACCTGCAGACAGGACCATCTTAGATGCCATCTTCCAAGAAAAGAATGGTAGAAAAGAGAGCATGTATTCTTACCGTGCTCTTTAACTACCTGAAGGGAGGTTGTAGTGAGGTGGGTGTCAGTCTCTTCTCCCAAGTAATCAGCAGTAGGACATAAGGAAATGACCATGAGGAAATAGTCAACCCTCCACAAGTATGTTTCTGGTGCAGCTTCAGTTTTGAATGATTTTCACCAGCTAAGTGTTTCAAGACATAGTGTTAGTCTCTCTTTTTTATTGTGGACTTTTTCCAGATTTTTTGTTTAAAATAGATTCAGCCATACAGATAGTTGAGAGAAATATATTTCTACTCAATAAAAACAAAAAAAAAAACTTTCTGACAGTTGCAAAACACATGAAAAATTTGTTTTAACACTGGAATATATAGGACCAAAGAGCTGAAATTTGACAGAAATAATATCCTTATGCAGTCTAACAGTAGAATCTTTTGGAGTTTTTCAGTAAAAAACAATGTTGACTTTTTGTGAGATTAAGCTGCATGTGTTTATAATTTATGTGTCAACACGTATATGTACAGTTTATGTTTTTAATGTTTCTCAGTAATGACACTGGATCACACAATTGAGCTTTATCGTAGTCAAACTGCTGCTATTCCCAGGTGCATTTTCCTGATTTTTTTCTTACTTCCTGCTATGATGGGAACAACAGGATCCTAATTAGTACTATTAATTTCCTCCTGTTGTTATATGGACCTTCTTACCTCTTCAGGTGGTAGGATTTTCAAACCTGGCCTTAATGGATGCTTCTTCCAGTCTTACAAGAAGCAGCGAGAGCTACGTAGCCCCTTGGAGCCGCATTTTAAGATTCGGTGTGTCTGTTGCACTCTGGATAGCCATTGCCATCCTACAGGTATGTGAAACACATGACACACTGAATTACCATTTTCAGACGGTTCTTGAAGCTGGAGTATCATACTGTTCTTGGAAGCTGGGACAATCATACTGTTTATCATAGCACTGGGTGTGTTCTTAATTTTTTGTTTAGTTGTTTTAGCATAGTACGCTATTTGGACTCAAAGTGAACTTTCTGAGCTAGAGACATCTTACTTCATAGTCACAATTGTAAACTTCTCAAAGATGTGAATTTAAGCAACTACTTTGTTTTGTTTTAAACAACTTTCAAGGATCTCACAAGTTCAAAATGAAAAGCAGGTTATTGCTACAACTTTACTTCTTAGAGGAAGTATGTTAAGCCCATTTCATAAAGCCCAATCCTTTTGACAGACTACAGAATTCTGTCATTTGTGGGTGTTAAACTGTAAAATTAATTGCATAATAAAGTCAAATCTGGTGAACTAATACAAGAAAATTTGGTTGATTTATTTCAGGTTATATTTTTTTCTGTGTTTTATGAAAGATTTGTTGAAGATAAGATAAGCCAATTTGTTGACTTGTGTTGCGTGAGCAATGTAAGTATTTCTTTGTGTCAGTTGTACAGTGGCATTTTAAATTGAATAATACATAAGATAGTTGTAAGAACATTAAATAATATTTATTTAGTTAATCAGATATTATTAGCTAACAGCCAAAGTCAATATTTCTTTCAGCTCACTTTCAGTTCAGTTGGTGAACTCTGCAAGATTTCAGTTAAACTTTAATTTGTAAAAGGTTCTGGAACCATAGGTTTTAATGTGTTCTTTTAGACCTGGGATTTTCAGTTTATTTTGTTGGGGTTTTTGTTTACTTGAATTGGCTACATATGCTCATACAAAATTCAGAAGTAACAAGTTATGACAGAAATTAGGTGTGGAACCATTTGCTGCCATTCTGTTGACTGGTTTGTATTTTAGTGCTTTTGTCTTTCAGGCACAGTTGTCTTGGTTTTATTTATTAATACATTTATGTTCAATTTCTGCTCCTTTCTCTATGAGGTTGTCACTCAACTGTTGAACTTCATGGTTGTCCCTCTTGAACAGTTATCACCTTTTCCATGTATTTTCACTTATATCTGAACTACTTCCTTTCCTTTTGTTTAAATATGGGTCTTGAGGCTTTGTACTGCAGGAATTCCTTTTTAACCAAAGAAGAGTGCTGTCAGAACTGACTGGATTAGCTTATTTGTCCCGAACGTTTTAATCAGCCTTTCCAGCTTTGGTTATTCACCTTCCATGAAACATCCATGTAGTGCCTGGGTTATAGAGAGTGTTAAGCTGGGGGTTTATGTGATATATAAGCACTGTATCATACTGAATGAAATTCTTTTAAATACAGTCCCCTAGGAGCTCAGCTGGAGTCATGCATATGTATTATGTATCACAGAAATAACTTCTGAATCAAAATAAAAACTAATAACTTTGGTTTGACTTTATGGCTCAGTGGAATTAAGTAATGATCCTTGCTGTTGATAAACTAAACTTGAAGCTGGTGTGTGTTTTAGTCACGTATAGATAAAACCGATCAGCAAAAGAGTTACTAAATATTTTTCTCCCATATTTATTTTGGTACCTACCTACTTTGTATTTGTAGAAGGGCTGGCTGGTCTGGCTGATCTTCACTGTGAATTCAAAAGTTCAAAAATAAAATGATAATTGTTAATTGAAGTATTCTTCTCTTCCCCCATCTCTTAGATTTCAGTGTTTCTCTTGTCACACAGCTGCTTTGGTTATTATATCCACGGTCGCTCAGTGCATGGGCACGCAGATACCAACATGGAAGAAATGAATATGAACCTAAAGAGAGAAGCAGTAAGTAAAAGTATTAAAGTTTACACCTGCTCTGGTTATTTATCTTACATAAAAACCCTCAGTCCTTTGCATTGTGAAACTGCAGCTGTACATTACATTGCACCAAGTCATGTTATGTGTTGGTGTGTAAATATATGACTCAATAGTTGTTTTAACTACCTGTTCACCTTCTTCACTATCTCCTCGTTACTTCTTCAGACTTCAAAGAAGTAAAATTCCTGTTTCTCTAAAAAGTCTTATTTCATGTATTTAAGAACCTTCTTTTTTAATATTCAAGTTTTTCATAAGATCATGGCCACATTCAAAAAGTTGCATGCCAAAAAGGTTTCATAAAGAGACAAATCTGAGAAACTCATAATAAAGAAACATCTACTCTACCAATAAATTCTTTTATTCTATCTCTTCTACTATGGTGATATAACTTCTTCTTTACAGAAATTAATTTGTATAAGTATTTTTTCGAGTTTGTCATATGTTGTGTCTGCTGCAAGATCAGGCAAATGTAAAATGTCTAATACATGTTCAGAGATTTTGCACTAAATGTCATGCCATCTTGCATCCTTTTAGTGACAACTAAGAAGAAAGTACCTTGGACAAAGGATATTGCTATTTTAGTAATAATTGGATAGAAAAAAGACCTAACCATTTGAAAATTAAATTTTAAACACTGAAATATAGAGTAGTCTTTTAGTAATGTTTTTGAGTTGTGTGTTCCAATAATTCTTTTTCCTAAGTGCTTATTTTTATATAATTTTGGGGAAAACAGCAGTTGTCAAATTTTTCAGTTTCTTGGAGTTTCTGACTTTTTTTTTCTATGTGACCCAGAAAACATAGGGAAAAAGTCAGGAATCCAAAACAAATAACCAAAAAAAGCAGGACAAGTATAGAAGAAAATAAAATAATAAACCTAAACAAAAGGTCTTCCAAGTGGATATCAGAAGAAGTATTAAAATATAATGAACTGAATACAGGTGAAAAGAGGAATATGACTTTGTGACAGCAGGGGTCAGGATTTTATGTCTTAAAAAAATCTTGCTGTACTAGAACCAAGAATGCAATGGATTCAAATATTTAGAGATATTAAGTACTATGGTATACAGGAAACAGGGGAAATGAAAAGCTTTTGACTTGTTTTGGGTCTATGAATGACACTGATAATGTTAATTTATAATTGCTTTAATTGTATAGGAAAATCTGTGCAGTCAGAGAGGTTTGTTACCGAACACAGATGGGCAGACGTTTCAGATTTCCATTTCAAGAAAAATGCGACTGCACTATGACTGGATTCATGAAACCCTAACAAGAGTAAGTGAGATACTGGTATTCTTTAAATGTTATTTAAAATATGTGATTTTTCTGCTGAAGTCATTGTCATGTTGTATTCCAGAAACGTGGTCCTGCAAGGCTTTTGGACTCGTCTTCAAATACCTTCGAACAAAGCACAAGGGCATACAACACCATGAACAAATTTCTCAGTTCTTTTATTGATCACGTATGTATATTGACATTACAATACTAAGGAAAATATAATTATACTAAGTAGAGACTAAAAATTGTAAATCTGAAAGACAGTAAGACTGCTCTTAAAAACAACAAACCTTTTTTTGTTATGTATTTATTTCTGTCTTGGAATAGACCAATGCTTTTTGTTCATTCATAAAGGTCTAAGTAGCTGTTCCTCACTTTGTAGAAAGCACTTTGTCTTTGAAATCATGAAACAAGAAGTATTGTTTTTCTTTTTCTTATAGGTTCATAAAGAAATGGATTATATTGTTAAAGATAAGTTGCTACTTGAACGGATTCTTGGCATGGAGTTCATGGAACCAATAGAGAAAAGTATTTTTTATAATGGTAAAAAGATTTGTGGTATTTGTACTATTTCGAGTATCTAGGTTTCTGTGTAGATTTGTTTCTCAGGGTTTACAATCTAAACTGGACTTTACAGCAGGAGGGATCATTAAATGACCCCCTGGGAGGGAGGTATTTAAGAGAAGTTCTTTACTTTACAGAAATCCTATTTATAATTTGCTGCTTATTTGTGAGGTTTTTTCTTTTAGGCGACTGAAAGGACACAGTTCATAATCATAAGCATTGATAGAAATATATTGTTTGTTGAGACTCTCATGGTTCCCAGAAGTTCAGATATAAAACAGGATTTCATAGCAGTAGGACATATGCAATTTTTAATGAAAATACACTGTTTCCAATCAAATTTGTATTGGACATTTTTCTGAAAAAGTAGTAAGAGGGGAAAGAATAAGTTCTCTATAATTGCTGAAGTGTTCTTTTGTAAAAGTGGTGCTTTTTGATAAGATAAAGAAGTGGATAAATGGTCTAGCGCTCTTTGGCTATGAAAAAGGTATTTTAAGCTTAAAAGACCCATTTTGGGGGGCACTGTTAACCAATAAATAAAGATAATGCTGAGCTCTGAACCTCCTTCTAAGTAAGGCTTTAAGCATATGTTTTCATTATTTTGTTGAGTTGGGGCCAGAGCTAACAGTTGCTAGAAATTTCAAGGACAAGACAGTTACATCTGCTTCTTGTTAAAAACTACCTTTTCAAACAATCTGAGATTCCAGGAGGGAATAGAGTTGTGTGTGGTACGCATTTTTTTCCTGTTGTTTTCCATCAGTATTACACCATTTTATAAGTGAAAAGGTTTGTGCTGTTTTTCAGTAGAAGGACACAATTAGCTCTATGTTTCCAGAGAATGCTATTAACTAGCTTTGGTTCTGACTTCCCTTTTTCTTACCAGCATGGACTGGTGAACTTCACAAGCTTGCAACTCACAGCAATAATCATTTTTTTAAAAATAATTTTTTTTTGTAGACGAAGGACACTCTTTCAGTGATGTTCTCTACTATGGAAATGAAACAACACTGCTCATTTTCGATATCCTGTTTTTCTCCGTTGTGGATCTGGCTTCCCAAAGTTTTGTTTTAGCAGCTATTCTGACATACTTGCAGCAAGAGGTAAATTTCAACTTAAGAACAAAGTAATATTTTTTAAATAGGGGTCACCTTGGCAATTCATGCAGTTAACTAGCTAATTAAAGCAGCAAGTCAGCAGTATGCAGTGACAGAAGATTACACTGAGAACTTACAAAATAGTTTTTGATTTTTTTTGTCAAATAGACTTGTTAGAAACTAATTTTGTTCACATGGCTGTCATGAATAAAGAGGTTACAAATAATTTTCAGTAGAAAATAGAAATATCTGTTAAAATTAATCACACATAATTCTATCATAATTTAGGGTGGAAAGGTAGTAGAAAATGTTTAAAAAATGCTGACGTTAAGCACCTAATTCACTCATATTATTTACAATTTAAAGATAATACAAAGTGATTATTTTATGTTTGATACTCTTTGAAACATACTCTTTCAAGTATTTCCTTGTTAATACATATTTTCTAAAATGTTCTTAGATATTTAGGTTTATCCGTTGTACACTTGGGCAGAAGAATTTGGCATCCAAAACCTTGGTGGATGAAAGATTTCTCATTTAATTAAGAAGATGAAAAACTTCATTGAGGAGTTAATTGTGGAAATTATGTCCATGATCGAAGCATCTCTGATCTGCAGATTAATTGTAGAGCACTTTTCAATAATAATAATAATAATAATAATAATAATAATAATAATAATAATAATAATAATGTAATGGGTTTGAAATATGTCATTTTTTATATTGTGTGGTATTAAGCTTTATTTTTCTGTATTTACAGGGTTTTTTTTAATTTGTGAACACTAAGACATAGACCTTTAAAAGGAAATGTACATGCAAATAAGACAGAAGTAAACTTATTGTAGTTATTTTTAGAATAAGATAAAAGTTATTTAATGGCTTTTGATAATATATGGACCAGTCCCTTTGAGGCAATAATTTGAGCATCTAGTTGACAGGAGAAGTTGTCAACTCTGAAGTTTTCTGAAAATACTGTAATTATTCAAGTGCCACTTATTCATTGTTAAGGGAGATTATGAATGGTCTTCAAATCACCTTAAAGTGAGATGTCTACCTCCCATTTTTACCACTGAAAAGTCTCCCTACCTTTTTATACTTCAATTTTTTTCAATAAATGGTTAAACGTGAACAGTGTTTTTTGTTTTTATAGCTGTTGCTTGTCTTTAGATGGTTCAACAAGGGACTTGCACCAGCAAAAATACCATAAAAATGTAGGTCAACATCATCTCATGCTTATTCTAAAACAGAGACTGAGGATTAGTTGGACTTAGCAGGTTTCTAATGCCGACATGCTCATCTGTGTTGAAGCAGCATTGCATTTCAGATGGTTTTTGGCTTCATAAAGAAGAATGTATTCTCATGTTGGTACCATATCATATTATATTAAACCTAGAACACCATGGACATAAATCTCAGGGTCACTATTGCTCTAAAGCATTTGCTTTTGTTGTTGCAAAGCCTGTGGAACCTGCTAGTCCAATACAGTTGCCATTGACTGATAGAAGGTGTCTGCCAGTAAGGCTGTGACCAGACAGATAACTGAAAAGTTGATTTACAGCAGGACATCCACTTATTAATGTGCAGTTTAGTGCAGGCATTTCCATGTCATGCTTTCCTTTTGTCTGCTTATGTACACAACTCTTAGTTTGTTGGTGCACACTACGCCTCAGAAAAGGTGTGAATACGAGACTTCTAACGGAGTGAAATGTCCACTGTCAATAAAATTAGGGTTGCTGCTTTTATAGGGAATGTAGTAATTGAAGTGTCCATTAGGTTCTGGATCTGTTTAAACAGCCAAAAATCGTATTTCCAGTGGGTGCCATGGCTATATGACCTCATTAGCTGTGAGGTTTCTTGTCAGTGATCTACTTAGTGCCAAAACTGTAAATTAAGCTAAGGGGCCATTTGAAAAAGTCTACAGTAAGACATTCAAAAGGCAAAGTTTGGCTCACATGGTGTCCATGTATTTCTTTGGTAGATATCTTTGCATAGCTTAACTAAACCTAAGTCCTTACAAGTTCTACTGCAAAGTCAGTGTACTAGAGGAAATACAATCTTTCTCATGTGACTGTGTTTATTTAAGCTGGTGGGTGTGACTAAAGGGGTGTGGAGGGTTGCTGTGGTCCGTAAATGAGCACGGGTGATTCCAGTGAATTGCCCTAATTCTGGTCCTTGCTTACTTCACCTCCCAGCAGTAGAACTGCGTGTCAGTGTCAATGGTCACAGGCACAGGCTTTTGCTCTCTGAGTTCTGATGACGTGTTCGTGGGCATGGAGTTACTCCAGGGAACAGAACCACATCTCAAACAGACTTCTTCCAGAATGGTCACATTTATGACCCACTGCAGTCGGAATAACTAAAACAAAGTAATTAGACCCGAGTAAACCAGCGAATGACTGCAAGCAAAGTGAAGATGCAGTTGTGCCATCTGTAGATGCAGACATGGTTTTTAGTTTGGTGCCAGCAGAAACAGAGACCTTTCAGCATGTGGGCTCTCACTCCATACCCTGTTCTCAGTGCTCGTGCTAACCAGGTACAACTTGCAGTACAAAACCATGGCTTGAGTTTGCTTTAGACACGCCTTTAATTATCTGCTTCTCAAAAGGGTACATGGAAGCTTTAATGACCTTGCATTTTGCAAGAAATACTGCTAAAAGCAAGACAAATTATAAAATTCCCTAGAAATGTCTTGTCAAAACAGTTCAGCCATTCACTTCCCCTCCCCTTTCTCCTTGGTGTACACATTACTCTATTTTGTTTTATTTTTCTAGATCATTTGTCTAAAATGTTAATATAGCTAACATAGGCACTCTACATGATTTAGGAAATAATTAAAGAAGTCAAAAGCTCCATGAATTTGTAGAAGCTTTTCTTCATTCTTGCTGTCAACCTGAAACAGGTTGACTGAGCTTTATTCCCCTATTGCTTGATATTTGTTCAAGAAATATCTCTTGTGCTTGTATTTCCAGTTTATTTTTTTTTCTTTCTTAAAATTAGTATGCATCTACAGTGTGTTGTTCATATGATGAGTGCCTTTCAGGTTTCTGAATGTTTTATTGGGCCACATGGCATTTCAGACTATGCTTTCTGGTTTTCTGAGCAATAAAATAATTTTCAAAGATTAGAGACCTTTTTTTGCACTTGTCAAACAAGTGGACCCAAGTCCGCAACACGTTTTTCCTTCCATGATCATGACAGTAAGGCCAGAGGCTGCAAAGAAGCTCTGTCAGGACAAGGGGTTTTGCAGGCAGTGCGACAGCAGAGGCTATGGTTTTGCACAGCCACAACTAATGGAATGAATGGTTGTTTCTTGCCAAGCATCTTAGAGGTTAGATACCAAACAAATTATTTCCATAAATAATTATAACTTGTATGTACAGACAAGGTGCAATAATTTCAAGAATATGTTTAAAATTTACAGGTTTCATTTACCAGTGAAAGACTTGCCATTTTACTACAGCATTTATTTGAATGGTAGGGATGGGTGTGACTGAGGTAAACCGTGCCAGAGGTGAGAAGTGCAGCCAGCGGGATGCTCAGATTACACCCTGCCTGTCAGCTTTCTGCAGCGTGGGCAGCAGGCAATGCCAGCCAAGCCGAGCTCAAGGGGTTTGTATTTTCAGCCTGAGTGGGAGCGTATGAGCTGTGGGTGACAGGGGGAGGGTGACGCTGTGATGTGATCCTGTGAAAATCACAGGTAGACTGGAATGGTGGAAGGAGGTAACTACCAAACCTCTCAAAACTGGTTTCCCTCAACACCACCTGCTTTGCCCTACCTTTTTTTCTCTACCCAGTACCACGCCCTTTTCTCCTGTACTTTTTCACAGGTTAAAAGCACTAATCCCCTGTCCAACTCTCCTGTGCCCCAAGCCAGTGCCTCCAGGCAGTGCCTGGCACAGCCTCTTACTTCGCCCCACCATTTCAGCTGAGGTGCAGATCCTGACCCTCCCTCCCTGCAGGTCTGGCAGCAGGGCTCTCAGCCAGGGCAGTTACTGCCTTTCCCTGCTTCCCTGGGCAAATGAGCGGAGAGGTGGCCTCGGCAGGAGAATGCCAAGCTGGGCAGCACTGTGAGCCACAGTGTGCTCCTAGTAGAGCTTCAGAGCTTCAGTAAGCTTTGATGGTCCAGAGCCCTGACCAGCTGTATCTGACCAGCCCTGACCTCTGATCCAACCTACTGGTACTACTTGAGACTTGTCACTCCATTTGTTTCCCCATGTGACTTCCTTCTCAGCAGGAGTAGGTCTAAGCTTGGCAGCTGGAGAGAGGTGAGGTGGCCTTTGGGGTTAAATGAGGAAATATTTGATGTTCAAAGCTTACCTGTGCAATAGCTCTGCAGAGATCAGGAGGCAACACTGCATTAGCTGACACTGAGAATTTCCTTTTGAATATTCATAATTGTTCTTTTGTTAGTCTGCAAAAGCTGAGCCCACACCTGACAATCTCCTCACAACTGTGGTTGTTCATGGAATCAAACACAGAGGCTGTATCTGAGTGAAGAGAAGGAATGTACTTGCCCTAGCACTAAAGCAGTTATTCCTAGAAAACACACAGCACTTAAGAGACAGATCTAGATTTTGGTGGTTGAGTTTGGGTTTTTTTACCTAAGTCCATGCTATTACAGAAATATCAAATTTCCATTTAACAGCTCTCTGTGTCAGGGTGGCATAAAGGCTCATGCAGTATGAAGGAAACGGGAATGAAAATAACGACCAGTAATTCCATGGTCTCTTCTCACCCTGGTTTATAACTCCAGGAAAATAATCCCCTTCAAATCATACAAAAAGATAAATCTCCAGTTCTTCCTGCAAATCCTGAATGGAGATATTTGCTTTTGGCTTTGCCTGATCCCTGGGACAAGAAGAGTGGCACCAGCTGACCTACAGATCAAACAGCTCATTATCTCCCAAAGCCTGGCCTGATCCCCCTTCCCATCCATGCCCTGCCACAGCAGCCAATGGATTTTGCACTTTCATGTGCTGCAGTTTTCCTTCAATCCTTCCCATGCTCCATGGAGCTGTTGGGGCACAATGTGGGGCAGCATCCTCCCCCTGCGGGCTCTCAGACAATGGATCCGGGCACTGGCTTTGGGGCACATCCCCAGGCTGCCGCCCCACCTGCACCAACCCTCCCTCTCACCTCTTCCTTCCCAGGTTCACCTGCACCGGCAGAGACCCAAATCTCAGAAACCTTGGCAAGGGCATGCAAGAGTTATGCTGAAGACTTTATGTTTAATAACAGCTGTGCTGAAAGCTTGGTATTTATTGTGTTATCCTGGAAAATCAGAGCAGTTCTCTCTACAAACACTATAAAATACTACTGCATGGTCAGGCACATGACAGGACATGGTGATTCTTTTCTGTGGAAATTGCAGTGCAGAGGAGGTTGTGTCCTGAGGCGCCCAATATTCAATGCAGAACTTGATGGACTTGAGGAGACTCCAGGTTCTCCCTGCATTCTAAACGAGCAGGGACAGGGAGACATACCTCTCCATAGGGACAGAGGCAAAATCTGACAAAGTTCTCTTTTTAAAAGAACTTTTAAAGTTCTTTAAAAAAAAAAAAAAGAAAAAGAAAAAGAAAAAGATATGGCTACCTGGCTTGCACAGGCAGCTGCAGCTCTCACCACTGACTAGCACCG